GGACGACATCCTGTTCGCCGACATTGACACGTCCATGTATGATTTCGACCCCTGCACCTCCGCCTCGGGCACAGCCGCGAAGATGGCCCCCGTGTCGGCGGACGACCACAGCGCCCCGCACTGTGCATGCACCCTTGCTTGCCTTTTTCAGAGAAAAAGAACGTTTTACAAAAGGATCACACTAGTTTTTGCTTTGAGCAGAGTTGGAGTGCCTTCATCCAAGTATGACCACTTTCAATACACGTTTTTGAGTGGTTCCTCAGAGACCTACTACCCCGGAATAGGAAAGAATACGTTTGAAGACAGCGTTGCTGTGTCGAATGGCAAAAATTAACAGTTCAAGTGAAGCACAAGGAATAAGATGGGAAAGCTGTAAATTGCATGTGCATATTTGTCTATTTTTTCTATAAGTTTTATTGCAAGAGGTAAAACAAAGAAAAAGTATATATATATAGATATATATATATTATTTAGATAATCTCAGTACCTTTTCTGGCATTTTCGCCCTGTATAGGTTGACTTGGCAATTCAGCCTTTTTAGAGGCATTAACTCCTCGTAAGTGTTGCATTTACATGGCTGTTTAGAAACTGCTGCCCAAATTTATTTTATATTTTTGTACAGATTCTGCAGTTTATGATATTGTTTTTCTAAAAACAAATGCTGTTTATACATATGAGATAGCTATTTTGATAGGATTTGCTCACATAGTTCCTGCAAACTTCAGATGTACAAGTTGCACTTGTACTTTTATAGCGTTGTAATGTTTTATATGTGTTTGGTGCAAAGAGAAAATTGGATCAAATCAATCCGCAGTTGACGTCCCCCAAATGCAGAGACACACACACACACACACACACACACACTCAGCGCCACACACACAAACACACACACACACACACAGAACGGCACGAACAGTGAGAGAAAGGGGTTCAAAACTAAAGTTCCTCTTTACAGTAGCATGCCACAGCTAAACAAAGAATGGAGAATCAGAAAATCACCACTTTCCAGAAACAGAAGCC